TTATGACTTAAACCAATCTTCCACCCAAAAATGAAATTTGCTTATTTTTCCCAGAGTTAGATATAAGTGGGAAAAAACTGTTTTTTTTTACCAACCCAGTCATTCTCCTGAGCAGGCTGTTAGCTTTAGCTTAGCTTTAAACACTGTAAGTGAATGGGTCCAGCTAGCATTGTGAGTAAAAGCGTTAAAATCACTCAGTAGTGATCCCGATTCTGCTTGGTGAGCTAAAGAATAACTGAATTCAAGTGAAAATAATTAGTAACATAAATCACAGGAGCCATTTTAGACTTGGAACTACTTTATGACAAAGCACAGGTGTAAGCCTCCACCGAAGCTTCTTCAGACCGCCCCAGGGCGGCTGTGGCTGCACAGCAGCTTACCATCACCGGCAGTGTGTGAATGTGAGGGTGCATGAATAATGGAAAGCACTTTGGGTGCCTTGAAAAGCATGTACCGTATTTTCTGGAATATAAGTGACATGACTCTCATTTTTCAGCCTTCATTCAGCTCACCTGGTCCCCTCACTAAGCTCCTGACAAGCCCTGTTTCCCTGGCAACCACCATCAACTCCATTCATCTCACCTGTTCCTGTAATCAGCTTCATCCACTTCACCTGCTCCTGACTCCTCAGCTCATCTCACACACCTGCTTTCCCTGCTATAAAAGATCCATTCAGCTACCCAGTCTCTGCCAGATTGTTGAAAACATTTGCCAGTAAATTCTCCAGCCATCCACCCTGCCTGATCTCGGCCTCCGGACCTCGTTTTTCTCCTGACCCCTGCCTTGAACTCTGCCTGTCATCACGACCCTCGCCTGTCTTCTACCACGTCTCCAGCCTGCTCCCTGTACCTGCTTGTGCCGATCTGGTTTTGACTCACGCCTGCCCTCCGACTCTGTCTCCTGCCTCGCCCTGCTCTGGTAACTCCACAAAAAATAAAAGATTTTTTTAATATACTTTTACTGTTTTTGGCATCATTACGGGTCTTCTGAGTTCTGTTCGTGACAATAAGTCTCACTATTTTTCATAGTCTGGCTAGTCCTGCGACTTATACTCCGGAGCGACTTATACACCAAATTATGTATACCGCGCTACTGCGTACCGGCTCCGGTCCAGGTTTCAGCTCCTCTGCCCCTCCATCACCTGCTGCAGCCTGTGGCTGGGTGCTGCGGGCCGTCTCCGGCCCAGGAATGAGCTCTCCCCGCCTGCTGGGAGGGTTTGAAACACTGCCATCCTCTGCTGGAGACCGTGGCGCGCTCCTGCGCCCTGGTTGTTTATTCTGCTATTGTTACCGGTACTTGTAATGTGAAATGCTTGGTCTCAGATTTTGTAAGAAAAATAATAAAATTTCCCCCAGAAATGCGACTTATAGTCCAGTGCGACTTATATATGTATTTTTTCTTCTTCATTATACATTTTATGGCTGGTGCGACTTATACTCCAGAAAATACGGTAAATCTATTATATTATTGTTATTGATATTGTTATTATTATTATTATTATTATTATTATCTTTCCTATTGCCAAAATGGTCCCTTGCAGAAGAGCCCAAGCGCCAGATGTGGCCCCAGAGCCACAGCTTGCAGACCGCTGTCCAATAAGACTTATAGGTTTTTCTTTTTCAAAGTTAAAACATCTGCTGGATTACATCATCTTACAACATAAAGACCACAAAGCATCTCGAGCTCTCCACGCAACGAACACTTTCATCACCTTAAACATGCGACGTAGCGAAAAGTGATAGACCGTCTTTCACAGCTGTGCTGCAGCATCTCATGCTAACACCAACTCGCCATTAGATTTCAAAACACACCATCTGTCCTAGAAGTCCATCTCACCATTTGGCGCTATTACCAGGAAGATGTGATGACAGGTGCTGTTATCAGGACAAGAAACAACAAGCCCTCTCCGTGCCCGCAGATGTCAGTCACACTCGTCTGTGTTTGCCGAGCACCTGCCAGGATGATCCACACTCGCTTCGCTTCAACATGCTTCATGAAAATATTAAACAACAGTCTTTTTACCATAATGTCACAATCTGTAGCAGCTGTGGGGGAGGTGGGGAAAAAGGAGGATGAGGATGGATGAGTCTGTCATGTGTCCTACAAGAGAGCCACAAGTCTGTAGGTAGATAATTTATTCAGCGCAGCTCCCTGAGTGTCTCAGAGGACAAGCAGCCATCAAAGAAAAGGCCTCGGAGTGAGAGACGGGACGGTAGCATCAGATGAATCAATAATGCACCATCATCCTCCTGCCAGCAGAGTCAGAACAAGCTACTTCTCATCATCTGGCCTGTTTAAATATTAGTAATATCTTTTTTTTTTCATTTAGTTAGTTGCAGACTTAGAAAATCTCTTGAAGGACAATCGTACTGACACACACACACACACACTTGGCACACTTTGAATTAATTTAGCATCAGGCTGCCAGGAAGACATCTTCATACAAGTCGGGTAAACACTAGAATTTGTTTACATCTCAGCAGATGGAGGACGACGGCAACAAGAAGAGCGGGACTGCACTCCAGGGTTGAGCTCTTAGATCGCTTTAAAAATAAGTTTGGATAATTCGAGGGACAAAAGGGAACCTCTTTATTGTGGTTTTGATGTGGAACATGTTCAGAGCTGTTGGTAAAATAATCCAGAACAAGAGTCTGTACCTTCTTGATGACCAGGTTTTTAAAAGAACAAGAGGAAACAACGGATCCATGTTCTGGTCATGATGACCTGATCTGTTCCAGTCCTCCAGCTGCAGGAAGCAGCACCTGATCACGGTCAGACTGGTCTCACAGAAGAGGCTATGTAACACAATCAATCCCAGCAAAGTCAGTGGGGGGGTTAATCAGGAGCTTTGATGTTCTGGACTCAAGATGAGTCGAGCAACAAGTCAACAATTCAGTTTCAGAGGAGTTTCACCGTTTATTTTAAGCTTTATTTGTTGATGTTTGAACTTTTTCTTTCTTGTTTCCCTTCAAATTAGTAAAACTAATTAGTCAGATTGAGGGAAAGGTTTGTGCTCCAGTCTTTTCCAGAAAAAGTCAAATTTTATTCTCAAAACCAACTTTTTTGCAGTCATGAATCTTAAGGCAGGGTTTGTAGCTTAAAGTTTTTAAAGAAACTTTTAATATGCTTTTATTTTAATATGTGATCCTGTCATCCGTCCATCCAATTTCAGCCGCTTATCTGGGATCGGGTTGCGGGGGGACAACAACCTAAGCAGAGGCCCAGACTTCCCTCTCCCCAGCCACTTGGGCCAGCTCCTCCGGGGGAATCCTAAGGCGTTCCCTGGGCCGTCGAGAAACAGTCCCGCCAGCATATCCCGGGTCTTCCTTTAGGTCTCCTCCCAGTTGGACGTGCTCATAAAATCTCACCAGGGAGGCGTCCAGGAGGCATCCTAACCAGATGCCTGAGCCCCGTCAACTGGCTCCTCTCGATGTGGAGGAGCAGCGGATCTACTCCGAGGCCCTCCCGGATGACCGAACTTCTCCCCCTCTCTCTAGGGGAGAGCCCAGACACCCTGCGGAGAAAACTAACTTGAGCCGCTTGTATCCGCGATCTCGTACGTTCTGTCAGTACCCAAAGCTCGTGACCGTAGGTGAGGGTAAGAACGTAGATGGACCGGCCTTCCGGCTCAACTCTCTCTTTACCACGACAGATCGGTACAGCTCCCGCATCACTGCAGATGCAACATCAGTCCACCTTTTGACCTCACGCTCCGTCTTTCCCTCACTCATGAACAAAAACCAGAGCTACTTAAACTCATCCACTTGGAGCAGGACCTCATCCCTGACCCAGAGAAGGCATTCTACCCTTTTCCGATTCAAGACCATTGTCTTGGATTTAGGGGAGTTGATTCTCATCCGTTAGAGCTCTCTCCTCCTTAAAGACATCCCACTGAAGACCCCATCTTTAATGCTTGCTTTTAATGTTCACACTTTGTATTGACAGGTATTGTCCCCTGACTCTGAGAATTGCTCATCGATGTGTTGGACTAATCATGATCGAGGTTGTCGAGGGTCCGGCTGATCTTATTAATTTGTCAGAGGCTAATAATTTGTTTATGAATATTTCAGCGGATTGCCAACACTACCAGGGCTCCAGTTGAGTCCAAAACTGCTCTTCCACTTCCACTGCGGTCCCACTGTGACTCGTAAAAACTCTCCTTTGGTTTATGAGGTGACAGCCTGAGTGCTCGTCTTTATGAGGCACATCTTTAAAAAGCAAGTGAGCTTAGCTTCGTTCTGCAGTTTCTTGAAAGCAGGATAGAAATCAGCGTCGAACGAGCCTTTCCTCTAAAAACTTCTCTTCTGGTGGACAAGGGAGTTGACGCACAGCAGTTTATTCTCAGAAGTATACGTTACTAACATGTTTTATAGTCGAATAAATGAACTCAGTAAACATTAATTAGCTACTGTAGCTGGCAGCTAGGAGGGTTTTACCAGTTTCATCACTGATTTTGGAGAGTCATGTTGAGGCTAAAAGCAAAACTTTGCCTTTTAGTTTTCTGAATGAGGATTAGAGAACAGCGATTGTTGCCCTTGATGTTGGATCACAAAGAATTGTTTTAATTGAAAGCTACACGCCCAACAGAACGAGTGAGAGAGGTGGGATATGGTGATCACCTCCCAAGGACTCCTGTCTGGCTCACGGCGCACCACTCGGGGCTTTGACGGATGACACCGGCACCACGGAGTGATGGGCTATTATTTCACTTTGCATTGGATAAATGGCAACGGGGGGTTCTACCTGTCGCCTGCCCTTCCCTTACATAAAATCTCAACTTGTTTCCCCTTCCCTCTAAAACTACGCCACAGACACAATTTGAGGAAAACAGATGTTGTACCTGCAATCTGAAGGTTATGTCTAGGGCTGAGAGTGGTGGACGAGTGCGTGTGAGGTGGAACAAGGCTTTTTTTTCCTTCCCTCTCATCATCTGAAATGATTTTCTTTTTTGGGGGGAAATGCATTTAGTAATTTTCTCTGTGTGTGTGTGTTTCCCACAGACCAGCAGTATTCATGGACACCCTCGCGGTACTTCAATGAGGACAGTTACTTCCCTCCAGCCAGGAACATGAAGGGACTCTCTGGTGGCCGCCCCGCCCACCTCCAGCTCACATCGACCACCTCGGCTCACACCTGCGGCCTGGCTGAATGTGACCATTCCCTGGACCACCATCTCCACCATGGCGACCTACGGTCACCCTCTTACCTCCTCAGCCCTACTGAGAGCTGTGCCCTCGAGAGTCACCACCGCTGTTCCCCACGAAGCTCCATCCACTCCGAGTGCATGATGATGCCGGTGTCCTTGTCGGCCACCGACCACTCCATAGCTAGTAGCACTTTCCCTCGCATGCATTATGGCAGCGCTTCAAGGGATGGCGGTGGGAACACTTCTGGTGGGAGAGATTCCCGAGACGACGGTGGCTCATCCTCACACGGTGGCAGTGGGAAAATGAACCGAATCCCCGCAAACCTCTTGGATCAGTTTGAGAAACAGATGCCGCTGCACAGAGACGGCTTCCACACGTTGCAGTACCAACGCACATCCACCACAACCACCACTACGGAGCAGCGCAATGAGAGCCCCGGGCGAATTCGCCACTTAGTCCACTCTGTGCAAAAACTCTTCACGAAGTCGCACTCTCTGGAAGGTTCGTCCAAGATGAATGGCACCAAAAGCGACTCACACAGGGACGGCTCGCACCACCACCATCACCACCACCAAGGCCACCACAAACACAGCAAACGCAGCAAGAGCAAAGAGCGGAAGTCCGACAGCAGCGGAAAGCAGCGCTCCGGAGGATGGTGGAGCTCGGACGACAATCTGGATAGTGACAGCACATATAGAACGCCGAGCATCATGTCGCGGCATCCAGTGGACCACATCAGCCACTGCTACCCTGACTCAGTGCATAGCCACCTGGCTGGGGATCTCTCACTGAAGACCTCTAAGAGTAACAATGAAGTCAAGTGCTCAGCCTGTGAGAGCATTAGCATGGCGCCAGAGGGCAAGTTCATGAAAAGGAGCTCCTGGTCAACACTTACGGTCAGCCAAGCCAAGGAGGCCTACAGGAAGTCCTCACTCAACCTGGAGAAGCCGATGATACCAACTGACCTCAAATCCAACCTGAGGCAATGTCACTATCTACAGGTAAGTTTGACCTTTGTACCGCTTGACCAGGAGCTGTTTCACATCCTAAAATCGTTTATGTGTCAGCTTCTTTCTTATTTGTGACACCTTACAGTCTTTGTGTGGTTGGTCCGTTTGCTGTACTGCATCGTGGTTTGATCGTTTTTCAGTCAGCTGATAAAATAACAGAGGATGTATCCCGCTGTGTTATCGGTCAAGTAAGAATTAAAGTTTTGCTTTAAAAAATCAAATCAATCAGCTAAAGAGGAAGAGCGGCAACCAATCCCAGTTGGACTGTGATTGATCTGAGAAGCTGTGTTTTGTTTGACGCAGCCCTGGATGTTACAATGTGAACTCGTCCTGTGCTCGGCATGTGGCTGCCAGTAGAAATAACGAGCACAGCAGGACAAATCAATTAACTCTGTAAATGATCTCTGCCAGAGGGGAAGAGTTGGCAGAAACAGAATGAAACAAGAGATCAGAGCAGATTTGTTCTTTTTTACTTTTCTGTTTGGTTTGTTTTTACGTAGGTTTCCCTCTAGGAAAACGTTTAGTGTTTACCTCAGAGCCTATCTTGACCTCGTAGAACTGCAGGAAATCAATAACCAATGACTCAGCACTTTCAACAGAAGCACTTTATGGATTTTATTTGCATGTTGATGACAATATGAACCAAGAAACCCTCAAATTTCAGTGTAAATAACTAATAACATTATGTAGATCCGCTGCCCCTCCACATCGAGAGAAGCCAGCTGAGGTGGCTCGAGCATCTGGTTAGGATTGGCCTCTCGACTTTGTCTCCTGCCCCTGTGACTTAGACCTGGATAAGAGAAGGGAAATAGATGGAGCCCCGCCCACTTTGGCTTGTGAAGGTAGGAAGTAAAGAGCAGAAGATCAGTAGAAGCTAACCATTAGCAACATGGCTAAACACAATCAATCTTGTATTATTTGTGGAGACAAAACAAGTTGAAGACATTTTTGGAAGCAGAACAGATGCATTGGTGTTAGCTAATTGGAGGTGGTGCATTTGCATTACCCCCCCCCCCCCCCCCCCCCCCCCCCCACACACACACACACACTTCCGGCAACCTTCCCTGAAACATGAGCGCCAGAGCTCTTTATCTTACTGAAAATGATTCACAGGGCATCCATTCATACCAGACACCACAGCAGATTTATTGACAAACAAGTGAATGGGACTTTTAACAAAACTCTCAGAGGTAATCGTTTGGATGAACATCAACTGGTTATTGCTTGGTCCACTACATTTAAGATGAATGAATGAATGAGCCACAGCTGCTCAAACTCAAAAGTATATAACCTGCGTCTCTTTGACAGATATTGAGCTAAACTGTGGTGTGTACGCAGCTTAGAGTCATCCACCATGCTAACAGCGTGCTAACACATCGTGTCTGTGGTGTGTAAGTAGCTTAGAGTCATCCACCATGCTAACAGCGTGCTAACACGTCATGTCTGTGGTGTGGAAGTAGCTTAGAGTAATCCACCATGCTAACAGCGTGTTAACACATCGTGTCTGTGGTGTGTAAGTAGCTTAGAGTCATCCACCATGCTAACAGCGTGTTAACACATCGTGTCTGTGGTGTGTACGTAGCTTAGAGTCATCCACCATGCTAACAGCGTGCTAACACATCGTGTCTGTGGTGTGTAAGTAGCTTAGAGTCATCCACCATGCTAACAGTGTGCTAACATGTCATGTCTGTGGTGTGGAAGTAGCTTAGAGTCATCCACCATGCTAACAGCGTGCTAACACGTCATGTCTGTGGTGTGGAAGTAGCTTAGAGTAATCCACCATGCTAACAGCGTGCTAATACGTCATGTCTGTGGTGTGGAAGTAGCTTAGAGTCATCCACCATGCTAACAGCATGCTAACACATCATATAAGATCTTTAATCATGTGAGATCACACATAATTTACTAGACTTAACCAAACAGCTGTACGTGAGACGAACCTAGACTCAAACTTTGGTTTTAAAGGCTGTAAGCAAAATGCAAAGAAGTGATGATCTTTTCGAACTGGGCAGCCGCTGCACTACTCCACTCTAATTTGCTGTAAACTCAATAAATGAAGCCATAACTCGAGACGCATCTTAGTGCTCCCAGTCCTGTCTTCCTTTTTGGTTATTCAGCTGTGTCCCAAGCTGCAGCACTATAAACTTTTCTAAAAATAACTTCTTGCTTGTTCTCACTCCTTGCTGCAGGGCTATATTTAGCGCAGAGTTATCAATCTAATCCGAAAAGCATGGGACACGTTTTTCCTCCCCGGACAAGAATCGATGCCCTCTCAGGGACCTTTCAGAGTAGATGTATTGAAGCAGTGCAGAGCGAGGGAAGGGGAAGTTTGTGCCTCTGTGATGCTTAGTCCAGGAAGCAGAAGAGACCAGGAAGGAAACAAATGGGATGTCTGTTTTCACTCCTTTTGGCCATTTTTGTTTCCAGCAGTCAGACAGAGAAATATCTTTTATTTCTGACTGATTTTGTGCCCAAACTGAATGGGGTCACATTGAGGAGTATCCACTTTCTGCTGCTGTTGGGCTGGGATTGCCCACAAGTGTCTGAACCTTATTAACATAAAGTGAGTTCAGAACGAACTGCCAGTGCATGCAGGAGTGAGGGAGTGTGTTAGGAAATGTTTATCTTTTCATTGCACACCAGATGGGTTGATGATGTGCTAGCCACCTTGTTTATGTCCTTGGCTGATGTCAGGTGAAGTGAAAAACTTCAAGTGTTAGAAAGGCAGAGATGGCAATAAAAGAGGCTAGAGTTGTGTGTGTGTGTGTGTGTGTGTGTGTGTGTGTGTGTGTGTGTGTGTGTGTGTGTGTGTGTGTGTGTGTGTGTGTGTGTGTGTGTGTAGGTAATATATTTCAACATATGACATACTTTGGTTTGCTTGATGACACAGTGATTCTAATTCATGATCAACATCTAAACTATACTTATTGATATTTGCAAATTGGTTTATTTTCACTCGTTTCCACCATTTCCTTCCAACCATGGAAGCTCAATATCCGATGTACCGACACACCGATACATGTCTAACTCATACCAATAAAAACCAACATCAATATAGTTAGGTTTTTCCCCCGATTAAAACATAAGTTTAGGTTGCCAACATCACATATCTACATGCACACTTAAACTTTAGACATTATCTTTGCCAGCTATAACAGTTATGTCACTTTACGTTAGGCCAGTTGTGCCAAACAAAAAAAACACATCTCAAACACAGGAGGGCAAGCAAAGGAAGAACATAGGGCAGCTGGAGCACCCATTCACATTAATGTTTCGATGCCAAATGCGTCTTCATCAACTCTGACGAACGTGACTCACCTGAGTGCTCCAGCTCCCCTACTTTCTTCATCTCAAACACTAAACCTAGCAAAGGTGAAGCCATACCTTCCTGCTAATGTCCTCGAACATGTCATCCATCTGTTCGTGTCCTGCCGATTGGACTACTGCAACTCCCTGTATTCTGGCCTGGACCAGTCCTCCCTACACCGACTTCAGCTGGTCCAAAATGCAGCGGCCCGCTTGCTGACTGGAACCAGCAAGCGGGATCACATGACCCCGGTTCTGGCCTCTCTCCATTGGCTTCCTGTCTCTTACAGGATCCATTTTAAATTTTTACTTTTTGTTTTTAAATCCCTTCATGGCCTGGCCCCAGTTTACATCTCTGAGCTGCTGTCCGCTTACGTCCCTGCCAGAACTATGAGGTCCAGCTCTCAAGCTCTTTTAACAGTTCCAAAAACCCGCCACAAGACTCACGGCGACAGAGCTTTCTCTGTGGTTGGTCCCAAACTGTGGAACAAGCTACCTCTCAACATCAGGACCACACAGAATCTAGAGCATTTTAAATCCCTTCTTAAGATGCTTTTTTTTATTTGGCTTTTAATGCAGGTTGACTTAAGCATCTTAATAGTTTTTAACAGTTTTTATTATAGATTGTGACTGTTGTGTGCTCATCTTATTTTAGGTTTTTATTGTTGATCTGTTGTACCTTGATTTGTTTTACCTTGTATAGCGCTTTGGGTGTAGCTTTGCTGCTGTAAATGCGCTCTATAAATAAAATTGACCTTGACCTCGACCTCAGATCTGTTATAGTTTCACATTTTGAGTGAGAGGAGAAGTAGTTGAAAGGTTTGGTGTATAATATGCGCAGCGGCATGCTGATAATTTCCCCTATTAAATTTTTATGTCACTTCCTACTATTGAAAAACTGATCGGATGATACTTTCTATGCACGTCCTGCTGGTGTGTGAGCTTTGTTTGAAGAACATTAATCCTCTAGCGTTCACGGGCCTCGGACACACCGTCAGAACAAAAGCAGCTGTGTTTCTAGTACAGCGTTCATCTCTGATTGTCAGCTGCTCCAGGAAGCTTAAGTGTGTTTGCACCCTGCCTACGGTAGAGCAGTACAAGGAGCGGATTAGCCTTTGATGGAAATGCTGAGATAGGATGTTGCAGCAAGAATTAACAAGCCAATTAACCGCCGTGTAGGCTTGCCAGAGGTAAAACGTTAGAAGCAGCAAGGCTGCTGATTGAACTACAAAAGGAAAGTGCAAAGTAACAGAAACTAATCTGGCAGTGTGATGCACATGCAGGGGTTCCCTAAAACTTTTGTGAAGGAAATCCCACTTCAGGTCATGAAGCTACAGTTTGGCTCAATGTACCAGCAGTTAAAAGTGCATAAATTATATTTGTTAGCAGGTTTTATTAAATATGTGCAATATGTATTCTTTATTAAATCATTAACATTTAATGATGGCTCATCAGTTTAATAAGGAGATAAGTTTGAACTCTTGTCTCGTTAAGATACTCTCCCCATGTTTGCGTTGATTGGTTTGCTGAACTGCCAGAGCAAAGTCAGAGGCAGCTTTCAGTTCTTTTTCATATGAAAATCAAAGAACTATGAAAGAAATAAGCCATGAACCACTCCTCTGTGTCTCACTCCATCCTAAAATTATTAATGTACACGACTCTGAGATAGTAAAAGAGCAAGTCAC